ACTGTGGTACTTTGATGTTATTTGAGTTATTTGAGTGATATAAATGTAAAAAGTAAAGCATTGGTGTGAGATATGTAAATGTAGAAGAATTGGTTGTTTTATATTATAAGTATTTTGTAGCAGCTTGAACTTTTTCTCACATGATAATGTGTTTTTGTCTCTAGGATTTGTTTTGACAGTTTTACATAAAACTCAACTTTTTTGAATTTACATGTCTTAACATTTGAACTTTAATTTTACAAACTTGCCACATAAAAATTAATGTTATGTTGCATCTCCAAGAATAGTATTCAATATCTCAAATTTTACTTATGCAATTTCCATCAATCCCTCCCTCCCTCATCGTGTGCGTGTGTCTGAGCGTCCAGCTTCCCTCTTTGTGATTGGGAAATGAGTAAATTTTACTTCTATGAATTCAGGAATCTTTAGTTTAATCTCCCCTATATGACTGAATTAAGAAGGTTGGTAGATTTGCAAATAGCAATTTTTGGGTGGTCTGTATATGTCGAATGAGGCTGAAAAGGTTTAATTGGTGTTAAAATATCTTTGGGGAAGAGATTGTAGTTTTGTTGAAAACACTACAACTTCTGCATGTCAAATTGTTCAATTACTTAAAAAAATTTACAAATCAGTTGTTTTCGAAAAGCACAAACCAAACAGCTAAACAGCTTATCTAAAATAAGGGCAAACTAGTCATTTATTCAGAATCAGCTATTTTCTAAACGCACAAACCGAACAGTCAGACAACTTATTCGGATCAGCTATTGATCAGCAGCTTATCAGAATAAGCAGCTTATCTGGATAAGCTGCAGCTGTCCCAAATAGACTCTAAGTGTCATTACCTGAAAAAATAAAAAAAATAATCTATAAAACCTCGTGAATGCTGAATTAATGCACAAAGAGAAATATATTATACTATACGGCAACACCAAATTCAAAAGGGTGGTCCAAATAGACTAGATTAATGGTTGCACCAACATTGACCCAAAGCAAATTTTCATAAGTTCTAGGTGGTACGCCATACAATCAAAGAGGCAGTTTAGGATGTCTTTTTTTTTGCAATAATCGTCTAAAAAATTAAAATTAAAATTAAATTGAAATGACGACAAGGTTCGATTAACCATCGATTCTAGTTGACCATACTAAAAGAAAATAGTCGAACTTTGAATTCAATATGCAAAAGTCGAGAGTGAGAACGAAAGAGAGAAGTGAGACAGAAGAAGAAAAATGCGAGCAATTAATCGCATATAGAAGGCAGGAGCCAAATACCAAGGGGAAGGAAAATCGTGTGTTAGGATGTTAGAATGAGTGCAAAGAAAAAGGAAAGCAGAGGCAAGAAATTGAGCGGCCCTAGCTTGCGGTGATCGAGCATGCGCGACCCGTGTGTGGAAGGGAGACCAGACCTATAATTTTATTTATATAAATTATGTTATTAAATTAATTAAAGTTATTAAGTTTTATTATTAACTTTTAGTAATTAATAACAGTGATTAATTGGACAAGCAACTGCGAGAGATCAGAATTGATGTTTGTGAATTAAAGGAAGCAATCAAATGTTAGCTTTTACTTTTTCACTTTCACTTTAAAGGAAAATTTTTAAGTATATAACATATAATTGCTATTTAAAATGTTAATCCGAAAATAAAGCCAGAAGATCTTTTCAAGTTGGAGGAAGAAGAAAAATATTGCGGGTAACAAGATTAATGTTTGGTTGAAATTTTACTACAGTCAATTTAAATTAAATAATTAAATAATAATATTAGAATTTTATAAAATGTAATCAGCTGCATTAATTGAAAAAATTATAAGGGATTGTTATTTTTTATAGAAGAAAAAGGAAGTTTGTGAGATAAAATTTCAGGTTTGTACTTTTATCTTTTAATAAGGTAAGAAAAGATTAATTTATAATAGTATTAATTTGTGTTTTTGCTAATTTAATCAAAAAGAATAGAAGGAAGAGTAATGGATTATAAATCGAGAAAATTTTGCTCAGGAAGACTTGGGGACCATAATTGTTTACTTTAATAGAAGGATAAAGAGATGGTAAGTAATTATGATTCTAACTTTCAATAATATTAATTATTTCTAAATGTATTGTTAATTTCATATATGCTTTATTCCAATGTGATTTAAATTACAATAGATTCTTCATATTGTTATATAGAAACATATGTATGTTAAGTAGTTGAATAATAATTTTCTTATAGAGTGATTCGATTATTGCATGACATTTAAATGTTAGTAGAGATGCATATATCAGATTTATTACAAGACATTTAGATTTTAGAAGAGGTGCATTTATTCATTGGTAGATAAATACAAAATATCTCATAAAAAAATAGTGTATGTTTGAAAGAATAACATGAAAATAGTTTATATATGAAATTATGTATGTTTATACTAAAAGGAGTTCACCCCTTTAAAGTACTCGTAGGGGACGCCACTATACCCGTGCACGTAGATATTTTCCTATCACATCCGATTAGGATAGTAGATGCTTTAGATTTGATTTATGTTAAGAAAGGCAGAGATAAACCTAAAAAGACTTGGCCGTATTTAATAAAAAATGATCTTAATCTATTAGAATTAAATGAAAATATGACACTCAATATGACTCAATGGAGAAAACATCTGCAAGACAGGCCTAACTAACAAAAGCATGCCCAACCCTCAATAATAGTCTTAAGACTAAATAAAATGTTATTTGAAAAAAAAATGAAAACAACTATCAAAATATGATGCTAAAAAATCAAAGTATTCATATATAAATATTATATAATCAATAGAGGCAAAATGTGCATTTTGTGTTATATCTAACTTATTTCTTAAAAAAAAAAAACTGAAAACTTATTTCAATCAACAATTATGAAATTGAAAAATAACAAAACATACAGTAACAAACCAAATAATTCATACATAAATATATTATTACCAATAATAGTAAAATGTCCATTTTGTATCATATCTAATTGATTTCTTAACTAGACTTGAAGAATTGATGTCACTCAATTATTATCGAATAGATCACAACCGACTTTCATCCACAAAGATATACCCATTTCATAAAGCACTGGGTCTAGTTTAAAAGGAAATATGAGATTATGAAATTTCATCTTTGAGCCAACTTGAAAACATGCGTGAAAACCATATGGCCTCTTCTCTCCTGAATGATTTCTATTAATTTCTCCCATTGATCTTTGCTGCCCGTGCCCTTCGGCCCAGAAAGTTGCCAGGCCATTCTTTCAATCAAGGAAAATTGCCATTCATGCTTTGCTAGAACGTATTGTCCTTATCCAGAACATGTTTTCTTAATGAATAGCTTCTTTTATTTTTGGGAAATTTACATATGTATCATACACTTCTAATGTATTTACATATCACGTGCAAAAAAAATTATATTTGCATACATAGCACTTTGGTGCTTCAAACCTATGAATGAAAATGTGTATTTCACTTTTAAAAAGTAGTTATTATGCTATTTTTGATGTAATATTAAAGATTTGAGTGCTATGTGTGTAAATATGAAAGTTTAGATGTGAGATATGTAAATGCATTGGAATTGTGTTCTATGTATGTAAATGCCCCCTTATTGTTTGGAGTTTTCTTATTCACCGTCGTAAATTTATTTAAGTTATTCAATATTTCCTCTCTAAAACTCACTTATACTCTTCAATCCTTTTCTCTACAACATAAGCATCCTTTAAGACCAACAAACCAGTAACCGGAACCTCAATCATTCCACCAGCTTTGAGGTGCAATATCATCCTGTTTTATGATTATGATTTGTAAAACTCACATATCTCACATCTAAACCCTATGTACGACAGCTTCTACATAGATGTATTACTTCGTTAATTTTGCTCTGAACAAGTAGTACAACTGATCATATGCTGAAAGGTATCCAAATCATCAGAAGCACATCTATGTAGAAGTTGTAATCTCGTATATCTTGAACAAGTAGTACAACTGATTTTATTTTGAAAGGTATCCAGAACATCAGAAGTACATCTATGTAGAAGCTGTAATACAACAAACATGTTTGGTGTATTATTTTTTGCAAATTCCTTGCATGTTTGTTGTGTTTTACAAATTCCTTGCAGTGTAGGGGGACTTTCAAGAATTAATAACTTGTGTTTTACAAATTCCTTGCATGTTTGTTGTATTATCTCCCACACTGCATTTTAAATCTGCAATAGACCGTATGTCAGCCCATTAATCAGGTATTATCCATTTTAGTCTGTACTGCAAAGAGCCACAAACATTTACAAGAATGCCTAGGTGAAGCAACAATCCATGATAGAGATACTTAACAATCTAACTTTTTACACTAAAAACAGTAATTACATAGATTTGCTATTTCATTGTAAATACTTAGGTGACAGTTTGTAAAAGCGAAGGATAAATGTGATGCACGCATAAGCTTCCGAAGATTTCAATGACAACCGAACTAATGAAAGTATACATGTTTAGCAGTAGAGTATAAAAAAATTATGTAATTGCATCAATCAACCCAATGTTTGCACAATTGATTACTTCCCTCACTTTTTTTAAAAAAAATGAAATGCTCCACCTTGCAATTTAGATTCCTGTGGATTTAAAACTACAGTTTTTTGTCCCCAAAAATGTTCAAAAAATATCTCCCACTTTACCGCATTTGCATCTACAACTGTTGTAGTTCTCTCCTAGAACTGAAACTCCGGCTCAATAAGACTCTAAGAGGTAGTAAATAGCATGACAGGACTAAGGGCCAGTTTAGGGCAGCAAGTGCGAGCGGCATTTTTAAAACGCCTTATAAGTGTGGACGGCGTTTTCAAAATGTCGTCTCACCGCTTGGAAAACACGTTTTGGCAGCTTATCCTAAAACGCGGTTGGGTTTTTACAATAAACGCAGGTCGCGGGTCGAACCCCACGTGCAACATTTCAAGCATAGGTTGTTTATCTGGATAAGCACAAGCTGCCCCAAACGCAAATAACACTTCAGAAAGGAAAAAGAAACTCACAAAGGTATTCTCCAATCAGATTGGTTCATTCCCCTGTTAACATCCGCCAACCTTTGAGGAACCGTTAACTTCACCGCCTCATTTCCCAAAACTGAATCCCCTCTGGTCTCAAGGAACTTAGCCTCCACAAACCGCTTCACAGAACCAGCTGTTTTACAGGACGGGCAGGTTCCCCACCACTGTCCAAGGTTCAGGCCACACTCCTTGCAGACCCAAGAACTCTTCATCTTGGTCTTCTTCTCATTTACCTTTCCTGCTGCACGAGATGACCATCTATACCGCTCCTTCGACAAAATCTCAGTTTTGTCGTCCTCTTCGCCTGAATCTTCCACGTTCCTCATAATCTTCTCCAGTTTCCCCTTCTGTAAATTCTCCCCCTCCCCGGGACGATCGAAATCGGGGCCTTCCCCGCCCTTTGGCTTGGCCGCGATATGTTCTGAGATGGGATCGCAGAGAGCCCAAACCCTGGCAGCTGCATCGCCTTCTTCTCCTTCTGGCAACTGCTCGCTCGAATGAAAACTACGATGGTCGGAGTATGAGAAGAGTGGCAGAAATGCCGAGGAGAATATACTGGCAGTGGAGAAATGGAGCGAAGAGTGGGAGTGAAGAAGTTGGGATTCGTGAAGAAAGGAAATGCTTTTACGGGAGAGAAGAACGCGGAATCTTTGCATCTTGGGGATTGAAGGGAGGCGGGAGTAGGGTCTCTGCATGAAATGGAACCAGAGAGACTGGAGTGAGGTTTAGGGTTTAGGAGAGAATGCAGCTGTCCAAGTTTCGAAAGACTGGAGGACGGAATACGCCATTGCCGCCGCCAAGGCAGAAGCTTTCGCGGAAAAAAAGTTGGGTCAGGTGGCGTGATGTCTGTTTGAGACCTGGCCCGAGCTCGACCTACGGCCTGCATTTAGTGTAAAAGCTCAAACATAATTTCGGATAAGTTGGCGAAACGCGTGAACCAAACGGTACGACGGCGGTTTTAAAAAGCCCCCCCCCCCCCTGGCCCCCCCATCTATTTTTTTATTTTTTATAAGGAATACTTATGACTTTAAAATGCTCAAAATATAAAAATTATGTTTTTGTATATTTTTAAAATACCAGAAACAGTGAGCCTTGCCACCCGCCAACTCCTCCAACTCCTGCCCATCGTCGACACGCACCCACCCAATCCCCGTCCCCTCGCTTGCCCGGTAGCCCGCCCGCTCGCAGATAATGTTTGTGGCTTGGTGGAGCAAAAAATGTGTCGTGCATGTCATAGGTGGTAGAACTGAATACTCGAGCGCATATGGACCCAATCAAACATATTTTATTAATTTTTTGTTTTTAAAAAACATATAAATCATTACAGCACAAAACATATTTTTTAAAAATAATAAATAGAAAACAAAACAAAAATAATGCACACTAAAAACAAAAATCAAAATACAAAACAGAAAATAATCTCAGGAGATGTTTTATTTCAAATACGAATTAATTTAAATAGAATTCAAAAAATTATGTAAATCAGAATTTTTCAAATACTGAGCTAACTAAATCCTAAATACTCTCTTATGCTAGTAAATAAATCCTGGAGCAATTTTTTAAAATTGACGTATATAAAAATTAATCTAACCAAATCATCGGTTAACAAAAATTATTAAAACAATAAAATCAACTTAGTAATGTTGTGGTATATAAAAATAACATAGGAGAACGATCTTTGACGAAGTAAAAAATAGAACGAGAAAAATTCACACAAAAAAACACACAAATTTACGTGGTTCGGCAAATTGCCTACGTCCATGGAGTTGCAGAGGATTTTACTATTTGAATAATATACAAGAGGAATCTCTCATTTTGTTGCTCTCACTTCTTCTCTCTCTTTTTTTTCTCTCTCTACATTGAGATACACCGAAGAAGATAAATTTATAAAAGAAATAAACTCAAATTCTCTTCTGCCACAAGACACCAAGAAGAAGCCAAGGGAGAACAATATTCTTCACCTTCTTTCTGTTAGAAAATTCATGTTTCAACTTTATACACAAATTACAAAAGAAAAGTACATAATAGTCAAGATCTTTTAAATTCATGATTTTTACATATGTAAAAATAAAGCGACGCATACCTGTATTCATGATGAACAAATTTGATCTTGAAGAGATGGAGTTTCTCTCTCTAATCCCTTAAAACTTT